TACCTCTCCCCTCTAGGTTTGGCTTTTGTAAATATTGCAGCACGCCTGATATCTTAGTAGGCTTGAAGGTCTACATTCATATCGCTTTTGCTGCGAGTACCTCAGAGGTTGACGTTCTTTTAGACTCGAAAAAAGCTTAGTGACACCACCTGGAGATGCAGTATTTTTGTCCAACAACACACTTTTGGCCTTGGCTGCAATCTATCATTCTTCCTCCAAAGCGTCCTCTATGGTATTAAGCCTCGCTAACCATATTCTGACTTCAATAATATGAAGGTGTTCCTCAAGGTAGTCTTCTGAACTCTACAATTTTTCCTGGTTACCTTAAATGGTCTTCCTCCTGCCATTGTCTCAGTCCACCATAAGATTGATATGTGTCGTCCTGGGCATCATGGCTTGAATTCTTTTTTTCTATTTTTAATTTTTTTTCTTAAGTTCTCTACAACTAAGACGTTCTGATTTATATTCTGAATCATGTTTCTCATGCCCCGTTGTTGCTCTATTGTAAACCCCTTCTGTATAAAGATGTTTCTAAACTTCTGGGGTTGATTTTTGCCACCCGTTTGTCTTGGTCACCCATGTCTCGCCCTTACCTTACTGTCTTTTTCCCTTACTCCCTGTGGAGCTAATAGAAGCACACACACTGCTATTTACCACTTGTCTGAACTCTATTATGACTGGCCCGCCTATTATTCCTTTACCTCTCACTCGACCCTTTGATGCTCTGCACCATACTGGATTACGTCTCTGATCTTGGCGCCTTTTGTCTCGTTCCCCACCCAGAGCTTGTATTTTGAAACCGGCGTCCTGTCTCGACAGGAGCGCCATGATTGTTATTGTATTCACCTCGCGAGGATTCTACATCACCACCACTCCCGCTTATACCGTGTTTTGACTGCTACCCCCACAGGAAGAGGGGGGGGTCCCTATGTCTTCTCACCACTCCTTTTTCTGTAAGGATGAAAGATGTCTCGGTTGCCGTTGCAACAGTCTCTCTCCACGTGTTCCAACCTGGCCCTCCATGGAGTGTTCCACTTGTGAAGTTTTGCAGGGCTCTGACTCGCATGGTGAAGGCTAATGGTACTAGTACTACAAAATATTGACTCATTTTCTTTGAAAAAGGGGGGTCTAGGAAGTCGTTAGGTTCGTTCTCGGCTCACACTTGAGAATCCCAGGGACGGGGACAGAAATGGTTGGGCACGTTTTATTTCACCTGATGCCTCAGTTAACCTAGTAGTTAACAATTACTCGGGAGTTCAACATTTATGGGATTGCATCCTGGGGAAGGTTTGTAGTTCGACCTTTGGGAGAGGGGCGACGACGATCGAGGAATCCGATGCGCCCCAACAGTCTCGACACCATAAAATGCAGAAATGGGCTGGGATCCTTAGTTACAGTCTCTTCACACAACGGACGTGGCCAATGAAGTGGAAAGGATATCATAAGAGGTGGGGCGGGGTATATATATCGACATTAACCTAATGTATACAGGTGTATACACAGGCTGCCTGTCCTTGACTAAACTAATTATCTTCCTATCACTCGGACACTATTCTTATCTTCCTATCACTCGGACACTATTCACAGACGTGTCAGTCTACCGACTGTTGGGCTATTCTGTTGTCTTTCCTGATCAAACAATGTCTAGCTTGCCCCGAAAGATTACCAATCTTCACAATGGAACTTTTAATATTTTATGCTCTTCATTAAGTGCCTTTCTGACGTCAACGTTCATCATTGTGGTCAACTTCATGGCTCTTGAGTCTAACCCTTTATATCTTAGTGGTTGAAATCTAATACTAGCCACTTCTTACCTCTCCTATATCAAGAGTCGAATTTTGCTGGGTTCCCTACCGTGATGTTACCCCCTCAACATTTGTGCACCACCTTGTCCCAATTTTCAGGATTTGCGTCTTGCCTTCATATCGCTCAGGGGTATTTATACCACGATAGACCCCCTTTGGTGAATCGGATATCTTTTGATATTACTCGTCTTAATGTCTTTTTGTTCTCTTATTGTTATCTAGAATATTTAACCCCTTTTCGATATCCCACTACATATTCTTCCTGGCGTGGTGCCTTCTTTTGATAATTACTTAGCTATATGATCACTAACAGAAATTATAGGCTATAGCCAGTAATCGTAAATGCTATAATGGGTTCTCTGAAATTAGATATCTGGGAAACAGATAAAGCAGAACTACCTTGACAAATATAATAGGAGCTGCCTAATTGAGTAACTACCTGGTTGGCCATTAGTTGAGGTTACAGAGCCACTGTTCAAGTGTACGTGAGCTCCTCGCCACGTCAAGGTGACACCATGGAGGGGGCTGTTCCTGAAAATGACAGGCTGAAACTAAAAATAAAATGACTGACAAGGATGGCGTGTATGGAATGCTACTAGAAATAAGATTTTGTCAAAGGACCCAGGCTTTTTTTGGGGGGGGGGGCGCGGCAGAGTGCACGGGCCTTAAGTGAGTGGGCTTGCCCACTAAAGCCCGGAGCTGAAGACTGATGGAAAGAATCAGTGAAGTTAAGCCATAGAGGCAATGGGATAGCTTAGCAGAAATCTTACAATTAAAAAATTAAAAAATATGGATGAAAAATGGATTCACAAAGCAAAAAGTAATGGTAGATGGCCAACAACCATTAGTCAAGTTTGGATAGTAAGTGGTGTAGTGAGATACTTGAGTTTACATTTCTTAGAACTAGTGCAACCTCCCCAAAGTAACAATTGTCACATGGCTAATCCTCCAAAAAAGCCTGAGGTATGCCCTAGGAGTTGAAGGAACTAGAAATGGAAATGGCAGAGCAAAGTTGCAAAAGTTTGTAAAATTCTGTATTGTAAATCAAAAGGTGCAATGCAGTTGCAGTGCCAACTCCAGTGTATCACAGCATATGGTGCAGCCTAAAAGGGAGGAACCTCCTGCTTAACTCAGTTTTCCTATGACTTTAATATAAAGTTGCTTCATAACAGTATATTAGGAGTTTTACAGTATAAACTCATTCCATAAAGTTTGTCTATAATAAATTCAAAATATTGAAAAGTTTAATAATTTAATGTAATAGTGTTAAAGAATGTGTAGCGAGTTAATCTTATACTCGCCCCATTATCTCATTATTTTAATAACATAACTAATTACAGAAGCTACAATCCTTTCCCCAATTACAGGTAATACTCATTTCGCCTTGTTGAAGGAAGCTGAGGTGTAATCACCATATAAGCAACGATTTGATGAATAGAAGACAGTTCAATTTTCACAGTCAACAATGTAGCACTCGGCGTGTACATTCCTAATCGACCCAAGACGCTACAGCTTCGACACAGCAGACTACGACCGCATCGAGCCGCCACGCTCTCCCACATAGAGCTCCACGACTCCGGCCTCACTCAGCTCTCTGCTCTGCTCCAGGCTTCGTCTCAACGTCTACGACACACTGCTGTATCCAGGACTACTAAATAAATATGAAACTCGCTAAACACTGTGTATCTAATCAACCCAACAACGTAACATAAACGTACGTTACATTGGTGACCCCAGAGATTTTCGACGATACCCAGCCACGACTGACTACAACATGGATTCTCACGGAACCTCTACTGCTGTTGCTCGCTGTGGACCGCATCCACCTGTCATGGAACGCTGCCAACACCCTCGCCATAGCTATGATTTTCATCGCGTTCATCACGGCATTTTCATCAACTACAGCTTGCTGCACAGCGAGTGTTACTCATCTGAGTTTCATCAGCAACTACATCATGTGGGAGCTACAGCCTGTCCTGCCGACTCTGTCGCTGCTTATTCTACAGGGACTCCCACGACAGCTGCTCTTTCGTCAGATTCATCTGCCGACTCGAGCACTTTGCGCAGTACAGGACTTACAGCTTGCGTTTCCGACTTCGTCGCCTCCAGGACAATTCAGCTCTAGCAGTGATTCCCTCGTTGTCCTAACTGCGTGCCTACATTACCTCCTATTGTCCTGGTGCCCAAGCCCATCCGCCCCGGATCTAAATGCCCCACCAGCGACCCAAGGACGCAACAATCAAGCACATTCTTCTCTCCTGCTACATCGAGCTTGTTCACACACACACTGCCGGCATTTTTTGGTACCGGACTACATGTTCCACAGCGACCCAGGGAACAGTAGCCTCGTTTTTTTATGTATTGCTTTTCTTCCATTCCCTGGCAGGGGGAGTCCTGTAGCGAGTTAATCTTATACTCGCCCCATTATCTCATTATTTTAATAACATAACTAATTACAGAAGCTACAATTCTTTCCCCAATTACAGGTAATACTCGTTTCGCCTTGTTGAAGGAAGCCGAGGTGTAATCACCATATAAGCAACGATTTGATGAATAGAAGACAGTTCAATTTTCAGTCAATGTAGCACTCGGCGTGTACATTCCTAATCGACCCAAGACGCTACAGCTTCGACACAGAGCAGACTACGACCGCATCGAGCCGCCACGCTCTCGCTCCCAGAGTTCAGACACTCAATTCTCAATCGAGCCGCCACGCTCTCCCACATAGAGCTCCACGACTCCGGCCTCACTCAGCTCTCTGCTCTGCTCCAGGCTTCGTCTCAACGTCTACGACACTGCTGTATGCAGGACTACTAAATAAATATGAAACTCGCTAAACACTGTGTATCTAATCAACCCAACAACGTAACATAAACGTACGTTACAAATGCTATAAGTAATGGCAGTGAGGTGTAGGATCAACAAATGAATATTAACTATTGTGTTAAACTTTAAATATATATTTACACAAGTAATATTATGATAAAATATGGGCCAAGCACTGGCACCAGTGACTTATCCTGCACTTGGGTCCTTCCTATCACAAGTTTAGAATAAACTATCAATACATCACTGTCAATACATATTGCCTGTATTTCATAGCATCATAAATCTATCTTGCCCAAATATATTAATGTTATTGTTTTAATCTGTGCTGTTCCAGAAGTATACCTATTTTTTTTTTTTTTTTTACAGATACCAACAAGAAATCTGGACCACCTCAAAAGTGTGATGACTGTGTATTATTTATTCAACTTGGAGCAACGTTTGCTTTCTTCACACTAAGCTTTGTAGTTGCCTTGTGTATACACAGTCGTGATCACAGGTCTGAACCTTGGATACACCCTCTTTCAGAGGACCTCTATTTTTCAACAGGTGTTGACAAATCTCTGTAAGAGGCTCCAGATCAGCATATTGGAACTCAAGAAATGTAACTGGGAAGAGGAAGGGGGAGAGGGAAGAACAGTAGTGGGAGAAAATCTGGGAAGAGCGGTAGAAAGAAGAGTGGGTAAATTTAATATAAAAAAAAACAGCGTTTAATGATATGAAACCATTTTCTGGGCGAGTCCCGGAGGCTCCTCGAAGCTATCCAGGCTGAATGGATATGTATAACTTTCTGGCATCAGCCAAAGTGCTAGGAGTTCTTGCCTACCGGGGACCACGAGCCAGAACCTGGGCCCCTCAGAGAGGCACAAAGAGCAATAGCCTATAGAAACCCCCTTGTGGTTGGGAGCATTCTATGTCTGCCATCGACCGGGATAGGCACTCAGAAAGGTAGGCGCCTCAAAACAAACCCCTATTCTGGTGAAAATATTGCTACCGAAAGCCAAACGAGTGGACAGAACTCCCCAAACAAAATTATCAAACTAGCAATAGGCCTTCTGCAGTTACCTTTGTTCCTATGTCCTCATGTTCGTGTGCACAAGGGGACACAGGAGGGCGCTGAGTATCCAAAGGAGCCACAAACATGAAAAAGAACCTGATCAATGACAGAAGAGATAGGAAGCGGAAAGCACTAGGATGCTACGTGGTGGAGGCAGACTGCACCCACAAGAACAAACGCAGATAAGATAGAGCCCAGGAGAGACTGGAAACTGCACAACTGCCAGCCCCTCACCAAGGGTACAAAGACCCGAGAGGGGCAAACGGGGCCAAGGTCCCCCGGGAACCTCTACGGCAAGACCTGGGGCCAAGCCGCACCCCCCAAAGTCCCAGCTTGACAAGGAAAAGCCGGGGCAGCCGTACAAACACTAAGGAAGGGAGCCCACTGGTCAGACCCCAACCCGTCCTCTTAAAAATAACGTCACTTTTGGCTCGTATGCGCGATACGGCCAAATTTGGACGTAATTTGAAATGAAATCGACTCACAAATGTGACGTTCTGTTCCGTTTTCTATTTGAGTCGTCCGGCGTACGCGCAGAGGTTATAAGAGGACACTTTAAATTAACGTTTTTCATACCGTTTTGAAACTTTATGAGAATTTCCTGCCCATCAGAGGACCCTTAACTTACTGTTGTTGAAAAAAAAAATCCTAAATTTATTTTCATTTTTTTTTCATTTTCAAATTACGTCCAAATTCGGCCATACGGGCAAACGGCCAAAAGCGACGTTCTTTTTAAGAAGACAGGTTTATCTGACCCATACGGCACGGCTGGAGGAACCGACTCGAATGCATCCGCCGCCACCCCGGAAGAGGAAAATCCCCTGAGACCGCCCGAGTCTCAACTCAACCAGACCCCGCTCCAGCCTCGAAACAGGCCTACGGTTCGGACCTAGGAGGAAGTGTGCAGAACAGAAGGGAAAGGACGAAGAGCAGGAACCAGAGCCGAGGCGACCCCCACCCCCAAGTCCGGACCCCAACAACCAAAGCAGGGCAGTCTCTGGGCATCCAGGGCCACAAACAACCATGAGCGTTGCAGCAACCTACACCTAGCAAGCAATGCCGCAGCCGCCTGCACCCGATTATCATGAGCCGTGACCTGGGTGAACAAGAGCACGTACCGACAACACCCATCACACGACTCCGGGTCATAAGAAACAATGACCCAACAGGCATCATGGCGGAGGCACAACCGGTGAGCGTCACCCTGAGACAAGGGAACAGAGAAACCGTCAAACTCGCAGGACGCGAGTTGGGACTCCGGGAACACACCCATGGGACCACGGAGCCCCCGTGGGGTTTCCCAGGGCCCTCAGCCTTGGGTACACGCCCAAGGGAAGCCCAGGCAGGGTACCGTGAACCAGTGCCCAAGTCTACCAAACGAACTTCTAAAAGCTGAACCCCCGGAACGTGTCCACTCACGGGGGCCAAGCGGGGAGTACCACCAACAAAAAATATCGAAATAAAAACACCTAGAACAGTAAAGGGGGACCATAAAGGCTGGCGCCCCCTCCCCCATCAGGCAAAAACAAAAGGAAAAACCCCACAAGATGACAACGTACCCAGGCGGAACAGAGCCGGCCGCTGTTATTGGTGAAAACTAGCTGTGTGGTATCCCGCGCCCCTACCAGTGACGAAAACTACCACCTACCCAGAGACAAACCAGGGCAATAAGACCCCAGCAGACTCCAAGGGCGGCCCAGTACCGAGCAGTAAAGGACACAGCGGAGGTAGAACCCAAGATGACTTGTGGAAGGTGGCCCAGCCAGTAATTCGATCAGCCAAGAACTGCTAGTTGGATCGACGGCGCGGAGGGTCTGGGGCTCCCCCTTCCCCCTCCCGGGAAGGGGGGGGCGGTGCGCAGACGGTGGCGCGGCGACATGATGATGACATGCTAGTTTGACAATTTTGTTTGGGGAGTTCTGTCCACTCGTTCGGCTTTCGGTAGCAATATTTTCACCAGAATAGGGTGTTTGTTTTGGGGCGCCTACCTTTCTGGGTGCCTATCCCGGTCGATGACAGACATAGAATCCTCCCAACCACAAGGGGGTTTCTATAGGCCACTGCTCCTCGTGCCTCTCTGAGGGGGCCAGGTTCTGGCTCGTGGTCCCCGGTAGGCTAGAACTCCAAGCACTTTCACTGATGCCAGAAAGTTATACATATCCATTCAGCCTGGATAGCTCTGGGGAGCCGACGGGGCTCCCCCAGAAAATAACAATAATGATAATTTAATGTAACAGTTATGACAAAATTAGTAGAGCATAAACCCCCTTCCCCTACCTTCCTCTAGGATTTTTAGGATGTTAAATGCTTGCCATTTTCTGCCCTAAGATTTAATTAGTCACAATAGTTAACAACTAAAGTTCACAATTTCCCAACAATATCTTCAATGATGTCTCAGAATTATTTGAATAAAGAAAAATAAATACTACTATTATATCCAGTAATATGATTCAAAATAGTCAAGTGCACTTCTCCAGTAGATTTATCACAGAGGAACACTTTGCAAATAAAAGTTTGCTAATATTGCACCTACTATGTAACAAGTCAATATAGAATTAAACAAGCCTTGTAGTTTAATGGATTGGATAACAAATCACAAGTTCTATATAAATGCTGATAAACTGCACATCATCTCCCTGGAATTTCATAATAGATGCACCTGATGCAGCACATTAGCTTGTCAAGTTGTGCAAGTGTCAACTGTGCAAGAATTAATGCAATACGATCCATTAGTTGCTTACACACTTTAGATAATAAATGATTTATCCTCTATATCAAAGGTATCTTTAAATTTAGAAATTTTAGCAGGATGTTATGTATACAAATTCAACAGCAATGCTAATATCCAATTATTCTGCCATAATTTTATAATGTCACAATGTGATTCCCAAGTAACAAGTATTACATTAGTCAAAAGTACATTTGGTAAATCACTACTTCAATAATGTCATGAAAACAGGTTGAATTAAAATACATGTAACACAATACGTATACTGTAACAAAAGTCTGCAAACTAAGAAATACCTGTAAATTACCATCCTGATGGGCACAATCAAAGAGTGGCACCGATTCCATGATAAATTAACGTTATCAATTCGTCAACGTTGATGACATTAATTCAACATTTGACTCATTTTGCATTTTTGGGGAATATTGTGTCCACTGGGATGTGAGAACATTGTGGTGGTGACATGCAATTTAAATTTAACCATTTACTGTAGAGAAAAAAGTCTAAGCATAAACAAAATCAGATTTAAACATACTGAGTACAGCATTAGTTAAGACCTATTTGAACATTACATTCTAGAAGTATAACATTACATTGATACTAAATTATACAATAAAATGCTTGGCTGAGGTTTCCTATTAGAGAATGCATTAACTGATCACAGTTTGTATTAGTTTACAGCCATATTAATTAAATTAAGATGGGAGAAAATAAATGAAGATAAGTAAATACTTAGTTACAAAACTAAGTGGATGGTTGCAAAATACAATTATTTGTACTTTCTACTGAAATTATTAAACCCCAAGTGTCATTTTCTTGAGTTGAAATTGGTAAATAAACTATTCTAGCAAGTGTTCTCAGGTGTATTAAAAACAAAAGAATCATTTCAATTGTACTATGAGCAGCTTTAATAGTCATATAATAATGTACATAAGAAATGGGTCTCAAAGTGGTTTATTTATTAAATATAGTTATACTATATTTTATTTACAAATTGTAGTTAAAATATAGTTGCACTTCATTTTAACATTCTTGAGATTAATTTCATAATGGTTAAAAATGATCTACCTTTGATATATTTAGTGTATTTTATTATACAATGGCAGTGGTTGAGAAGCATACCAAAACAACACCACTGTAAGGTACAGATAAGTTCCAGTCTTCCAGGCATGCTAATTCCCAATACATACTGAGCCTCATCCATAGACATAGTATACTTCTCAGAAAGAGGTTTTAATAACAAAATGTATGGCTAATGTTATGGGCAAAGAATTTTTGTCCAGATAGTGAAGATGTGACAAACTTCTCAAAATTGACTGATCTGCTTCATAGGAGCAAAGATATTTAAAGACAAAATAACACAAACAATTTATGCTTTTTAAAATTCAAACACAAAATAGATTAGAAAATTTAAGCTATAACCAGCTTAATATACTTATGTATATACTATATATACTTATGAAGTGAGGATGTACATAAGAAAATTCAAAATAACTGATGATATTAATGTTTATACTTTTTATGTACTAGTGTATATTGGCAGGAGGTTTTCATTCAGACATGTTTCATTAAATTATGATTGCATATTCCATGTTAATTATTTTCTTGTTTAGGGCTTCTTTCCCTCTAACGCTCTTGCATCATGGGTTTGGAAGAGGATTTCTCCAAATGTCATACCTGTTCAAGGCTGACGAAAAGAACATGACTAACAGTATAATGTATTATACTTACTATAATTTACACAATGTTTCGAACCTACAAGGCCCAAACTCAATTGAGGAATGACAAGACGTAAGGAAACCTCTGATTTACAAGACTGGCAAGTCAGTTGCATACAAAATTGTCAGGTGAATAATTTTGTATGAAACTGATGCCCCAGTGTTATAAATCAAATGTTTCCTTGTGTCATTCCTCACTTGAGAATGAACCTTGTAGGTGTGAAACATGTAAATTACGAAAAGTACAATACATTATACAGTAGTTAGCTTTGCTCTTTTTGTCAACCTTGACCAAATGACATTCAGAGAAATCCTCCTGCAAAACCAAGATGCAAGAGCACTAGTTACAGGGATAGGAAGCCCCAAACAAGAAAATAATCAACACAGAATATGAAGTCATATTCAATGAAACATTTCTGTGTAGTGTATACAAAGCTGAAATTGTGTAAATTGCAAATTGCTTTTAATTGGGTAGCAACCTTGGAATTCTCTAGGATAAAGACCCATACTTGGTTCATGCCAAGTACCGAGAACATACAAGTTGGCCTCATAAACCAAGGAAGCACTTTTATGGGACAGCAGTTTAGGATTTAGCTCACTCGTCCAATTTGAGTATTTTTTTAACATTTAGTTTCAAATTTCATTGACATGTCTCGTAAGGTAACTTTCCCTTATTATGTACTTGTTTAAATTGCATGATAGCCAAAACAATGTGAAATTTAATTTGTAATAAATTATACCAATAATAATTAACCCATTCTTATGATCATTAACCAGAACATAGGAGGATATATATGTACTGTTCCATTTCAATATAAAACAGAATATACAATAGAGTATAAAACTGACGGCAAATAGATTGTCTTAAGATGGTGTAAATGTATCATAATTTTTATAAAAATGTTAAACGTAATAGACTTTGATCTACATCGTTATGAATAAATTGTATTTTACTTAAACTACAATCAAAAGAATACTACTTAATAAATCATAACATCTCAATGTTTGAAAAATACATTCAACATACAGGTAGTGTACTGTAAAAACTGTACCCCACTAATAAGACACTGTTAAAAATGATATGGAAACAAAATATATTTTATCTTTGGCTATCATCTTCTGTACCATGTGCAACTACTCTGCTTATGGACTAAATATCCATCTACTATCAACTCCTTCAGTAATACGCTCTTCTGGGATTGTTCTGAAATAAAAAGTTATGAAATATAAAATAACAGTTCAATTTAATTTGGAAAGAAGCAAGGAGATATGTCTGATGGTGAGATCACCAGCAGAATCCCAGTTCTTCCTCCCCCAAGCAGGGACAGGCAAGATCTAAGCCCCACCTCCCCCCAAACCCCTGGTAACTATTCCACAAGAGAACGATCCTACCAAAAGAGCCATGCCCCGGAACAGCTTCCTACACTAGTGTGGAGTGTGTAAGATAATGGACATAGGAAAGTGAGCTTCAAGGTAATGTACTCAAGTATCGATGGGATTACAAATAAAGCAAGTGAACTGGTCAAAAGTGCACAGGAAAAAAAAATGATCCACAATGATACCAAAACAAACGACGTAGCACGAGAATTAAGGTGAGAAAACTGAACCGAGTATACACATTTGCGCATCGCTGCACGCTCGACTGCACCATTAGCCCCATGATATCAAAGTCTGCGGTGCTCACGTGCCGCATGCGATAGTGTTAATGTTTGGTGATGATGCAAAAACCAAGTTAATTTGGAGGATGTAGCAAGAAATTAAATTATGACTTGGATAAACAATGAAGGGTCCAGGAAATGGTTACTGGATTTTAGCTTGAGTAAGTGTAGTGAAACTATGTGCTGGGAGCAGGCAGCTAGATACAAGGTACCAATGGGAGCTGAAGCCTTTTAAATACCAGAAAGAGTAAGAGACTTAGGAGTTGATTTTACACAGAATCTATGTCAGTCTGCATTAAATGGATAATCTCAGCAGTGGCCTAGGTTGGCCTACACAAGAATTGGCTTTTAGAGCTCTGAATAATGACCCATTCAGGAACTTGTATGCTACATATCATTAATCCTGGAATATGCCACACCTGTCTTAACTTCTTCCTTACCTTGTCAAATGCCAAATGAAGTTGGACAAAGTTCAAAGGAATACCACCAGATTAGTTCCAGAGCTGTATAGCTGAGAGATGCTAGTTACAAAGACTAATTGAACTAAACCTAACACCACTGGAAGACAAAAGTGCTTGGGATGACATGATTGCTATGTACAAAAGCCTCTGTGAAATGATAGAACAGAAAAGAACATTACTTGGGATGACTGGTACATAAACAAATGGATATAGGTGCAAACCTGAGTACCCAAATGAGCCACTGACAGTAAAAGTGGATTTCATGCATTCCCTATTCAAAGAAGTGAAGTGATGGAAGCAGACTTGACACAATTTCATATATAGATGTAAGACCCCCAACAGGCTTGGAAACCTATACATCAGCCAATTTAATGTTGAGAGGTGTGACCAAAGAGCCAAAGCTGAACCTCTGAGAACATAATTAGTTAGGTATTTTCTGGGTCACATGGTAAGTATAGTATATCAGCTTTGTTGTGTGGGAACCCAGATGGCAGTCACATAGTGTGTAATTGAGGGGAAGGTTGTCAAGCCTCGTGTTGATAAAATGTACACAGACAGACTACCTGCAGTGTACTATAAACAAAAACATTTGGTTTATGTAAAATATTTTTAAGGAATGTTTTAAAACTCACTTTTGGTGAAGAGTGACTAACTAGTCACTTGTTAACCCTCCTAACAAGTTAGCAACAAGTAATAATCAAAAGAAGGCATCAGCCTTCAGACTATTTAGCACTTTCTGTGGCACTGTACAGTCAAAAATCCTAAGATTCATTCAGGATGCCAATATAAGACTAACAAAATTCAAGATGTGTGGTAAGGGACAAGGGTGGGTCAAAGTAGATTATATAAATGTATTCTGCATATGACAGTTAACAAAGAGTAGTGAACACATGCTCTAATGAAATGGTGGGTACTGCTGTACCATTATGTATTGTGAATGACAATGAATATTTTTATTATTTAAAATCAATACCCCTACTGTAACCATCTTATTTATTTTTATTTTTTAATTAATAATATTACCCAAGGGGGCCTACTTGTAAAGAAAACATCTACTGATCACAAACAACAAGGTTTAGCAAATGTAATATTTACCATACTAGCAAAAGGTACTGTAGAGTTCACTTGTAATATCCAAAGTTGTTTAGCAAAAGGAAGAATTTTTGCTGCAATCAATATTTATACAAAAGCTGCATTATTGTGAAGTAGACCATATTTTTTGCTTAGTAAGGCATTTGCTGTTTCTAGTCAACAATAAATAAAACAGCATCCGAGGTAGGCATAAACAAGAACACAAATTCAACAAAACTGTGATGGCGTTATAACTAACACAAAATACAGAAGAATCGCACTTACCAGTGGATTTGGTCGAAAGCGATATGCCAGCATCATTCGTTTCCTGTATGCATCATACTCATCGTCCTCTTCCAGGAGTGCTTCAGGTCTCTCCACACCCAAACCCTGGCTCTCTGAACGGCCATTCCTGTTATGTGAAAACTATTTAAGAATGTCGAGAAGCAGCAATAAATATCTACTGAACATTGAGAATATGCAAGTCTAATGAACAAATCCACAAGGGCCGTGACGAGGGTTCAAACCTACCCTACATTTATATTTACGAACTTAAATATGCCTGTTATTCATTAACTCTGCCTAATAGAGGTAAAACTAGACCTAGTAGTGCAAATCTGGCTATGATGTATAAAAAATGCAATACATTATCATTTTATATTACTGAATACGAAATAAAACCAAAAACACAAAATACTGTACACATGTTGTGATATTACATAGAGTACTCCTAAATGAGAAAATATAATTGAAACGAGACCAATATTTGGCTCAGTGGAAGGGCCAGATAAAATGAAGTAATGGCATGCAAAGTATTAAAAGATGTCGAGGGTCACTGTAGAATATGTAAACACTAAGTGGGACATGCACCACTTAAAACACTTTCACTCAAAACTTAACATTTAAAGATTATAGCATTAACTATAATTGTCTGCATACAGCATTAAGGTTCATAATATCAGCCATCTTGTTTTCTAGGTGTTCAGTGCACACTTAACTTTGAGAGATGCCACTCTCTACTTCAATTATCTCCACAAAGTTAACTGCCAAACATTTCCTCTTCAGTTGGCATTGTTTGATAATGTGGTGTGGGAGGCTTGCAACAGAACAGTGTATGATCTGGCATGCTTGGTCAACACAGACTCCTTAAAGCAACACAAACCTCTTCGTGCATAAACTCATGCCTAACTTGTGTAGATTTGCAGTTTACAAATTTGACATAAAGCAAAAAACCATGAAACAACCACATTATTCAATGCAGGGGGAAAACATGCACACACACACACACACTAAACGTACTGGTTAACAGGTGCTGTTATGCCTTTTCCTTCTGCACCAAGACCCATTCCTTCTGTCCATCCCATGCTCTTCAACATTCTGTAGCCAACATTGTCTTCAGTAAGTTTGTGTTGCTGGTAGTCTGAAAGATCAGGATCCCGTCCCTCCTTTATTGCTCGATACTGCAATGTAAAACAATAATTAATAGAATTTGTTTCATTTATTACACAAGGATGTAAGTAGATAGTAAAAAACTATCATGTCACTGATAAGTGAAAAATATTTAAGGCATGAAAAACCTTTTAAGAGCTAAAAAATGTCAAATTACCTTTTGTAATGGCAAAATTTTGTTACAATTATGAATAAATAAGGTTTACTATAATTGTAATTTGATTCATAAACACAAATTATATTAACGTGATATATATCAATGATGATATACAGTTCAGTACATCAAAGCGACTGTCAATGCCGGGGTCGTAGGTTCGTGCCCACTTATAGTCCTAGTGGATTTTCTCATTAAAATTTGATTCATATGAAATGAAGATTACTTTTGATTTAGGGTCTTGGTAGTACAATTGAATTTGACTGCCTCAAATCATGGAATCCCAGGAAAGACAGAAGTGGTTGGTCATGTTTCTTTTCATCTAATGCCTTTTTTCACCTACCAGTAAATAGGTACTTGGGAGTTAGGCAACTGTTGTGGGGTTGCATCTTAGGGAAAGTCAGTAGTTTGGAGGTAAGGGGGGGGCTTTGATACAAGCCAAAAGTATACATACATGCAGGCTGCCTGTCCTTTACAAAACAAATTAAATAAAAATATAATACATAACCATATGTTTACCATGCAAAACTGGCATCTAAAATGGTAAAATGTGGCAAATACAGATACACTTTACCTGAGGGAATCTCAGGAAGCAGTCTAAATGAAGTCACACAAATGAATTCATACAGATATGACAGATTTGCCCTAAATCAGCAAATAGTACAACTAGAAAACACCCTAGACTTTACTTTTACAATGACAAATTGGTTAGGAACATAATGATTATAAATACCCATTATTCAGAACACAACCTAATCTAAGATCACAGCCAGTCTGAAATCCAAGGAGGAGGAGAATGCAGCAAATTCAATTTTAATAATAAACAGGAGTAACTGGAAACTAATAAACCAAGATCTTACAGAAATAAGCTGGGAAGAAAAGCTAGAAAATACATACCAAAATCATTGACCTCGAGAAAATAGACACAGTAGCACTAGAGATATGCTCAAGCCACATATCACTAAGCAAAAGGAGTTGGTTGCAAATTGGAATGAGAACAGCATTTCGTCTTTATAAGAAGAAAACAAATTGCGGAACTCGAATACTCTGTTCTAGCCTAAGAATTACAAGACAGGCCATGTAGAGAAACTGAAGTAATTGAGCTAAAGTTAAAGGAATCACATAAATTGCCCGAGACACAAAGAGAGCAAAAGGCCATCAGTGTAATAAGAGAGGAACCAAAAATACTTATCTTATGCAAAATCTAGATAAAAAACTACAGCTGGCATTGGGCCCCTGTGCAAGAGATGATAGTTTAACAGATCACAACTAAAAATTGGATTAAATATTGAGGAAAAAGTGAGATTCGGTTTTCAGTAAAGCCCTGAATGCACTGAGGATCGATAATCCAAACAAATTGTTCATGAGCACCAACATCAAATTATATGTCAACTGTCACCAACATCAAATTATATGTCAACTGTCACCAACATCAAATTATATGTCAGCTGTCACCCTGACCCCATTGGACTTGGACATAGCCATACCCAGACACACTGTTGACCAAACCACACACTAGAAAGTGAAGGAACGACGACATTTTGGTACGTCCTGGCCCATTCTCAAGTCACAACTGACTTGAGAATGGTCCAGGACGGACCGAAACGTCGTCGTCCCTTCACTTTCTAGTGTGGTTTGGTCAACATATTTCAGCCACGCCATTGTGACTCATCATCCCATACACTCTGCATCAGAGCCTGATTCCTGGGATTCCAGCTTCATCAAGAACTGCAAATAAAACACCATCACATGCTCTAAACATTACTTGGAGATGGAGGCCTGACACTGGTGTTATTCCCGACATACTTGAAATAGCAATGCTAGCACCACTCCACAAAGGTGGTAATATGAGCACAGCCCAAAATTAGACTGATAGCACTAACATTACTTAAAAATCTTTGAGAGTGCTAAAGAGCAAGATCATAAAACATTTCATAATGGAATTGCAGCATCTACATAACCCTGGACAACATGGATTAAGAACAAGGCACTCCTGCCTCTCACAACTGCAAAATCATGACATGACCTTAGTTGCCATGAAAAACAAGCTAAATGCTCCAGTACTTTTTCTCATCCTCATATTGGACATTGAGAGTATACAGACACATACACATGGACACAAACTAAAATACTGTATCATCCTTTGCAAATCACATTAGGATTTTTATGAGAGTAGACAATATAGAGGGCACCGCAAACATATAAATTAGAGTAAATCTTGTCTTTTAATGGGCCACAGAAAATTATTTGTTTAATGAAGTCTGAAATTTTAAATTAATTAAACTTGGAACTAACTTTAGGTTCCTGCTCTATGGGAAAAATGAAAATATTAAAATGGAAACCATATAAACTGCAGTCAAACCGACTATAGAATAAACAGGCAATACAAAAGATTTGAGTGTAAATTTCAAAGATTTTTATGGTAAGTAATGTTAGTGCTATCAGTCTGTAATTTTGGGCTGTGCTCATAAGACCGTAGTTTTAAAGAGCACAAAGAAGCTGTCACAACCAAGAAAAATGACAGGTTGAATGACAAGAACCTTTAAAAAAAAAAAATGCCAAATCAATTATCACAATTTTTTAAGACATTAGTGCTCTCTACAGGCATATTGTTGCACAATAACAGTCCCATTCAAAGTTGGAAAAACCCATTCAGGTCATTCATTCAAAATGAATGACCTGGAGAATTTACAAAGATCTTTTACTACCAGAATCAACTTTATAAAACATAAATTTTTGTGCAGATGAAACATCACAATAACGTGCCTGAAAAATGTTGACCAAACCACACACTAGAAATTGAAGAGACGACAATGTTTCAGTCCGTCCTGGACCATTATCAAGTCGACAAGTTGATTGTCAAGTCGACCATTATCACAATCGACTTCATAATGGTCCAGGATGGACCGAAACATCGCCTCTTAAATTTCTAATGTGGTTTGGTCAACATAAATTCTTGGGACTGGTTAGTTTTAAAATCAGTCTTCCATAGGGCACATTTTGACAAAAAGGAAAATAATTTACATTTGGAAAATATTAGAGGGGTCCGATTCCAAATCTGCACATGGAAATATCAGTGCATGAGACAAGGAAGCATGGGAAGAAGTGCAAAATAGTCCCATTGAAAAGCAGAGGTGCAATAGGTATACAGAGAGAATTCTCTCAACATCAAGGGCCTAAGACTTTTCATCATACTCCCTCTAAACATAAGGGACATAACTTGCCGCTCTCTTGTGGTGCTCAAGAGAACTTGATAAATACCTCCAAAAAAATACCTGATCAACAGGGGTTGTGATCCATGTCAGGCTTTAAGCAGTTGCATCTAACAGCCTAGATGACCAAACTACCAACATGAGGTAGTGTGATTCTAAGTCTGGATCCTTAAAACCAACGAAGGTAATCGAAAGGTAAGGGGTAAATCTGATACAGTATTCAATTTCCCTCTATTCTTATATACACAAAATTGAAATCCTTTTCTAATATTACCATATTACTTGGTGTAACAAAATTATTGAAATTTTCATACAGAAAACCTGTGTATGGCTTAAAAAAAGTAAACAATTATTGATGGCCCACATCTCCTTCGAGCCTGAAACATACCTTTTCCATAAATCTTGCTAATTCATCTGGTGGTAAAAAGTCTCCAATGTGATGTTTTCCCTCTGCCATGTTTGTTAGTTCTGAAGCTTTTGCATGGGTCTCCTGCATTTCTCTGGCCCGCCTTAAAACAGATTTTACTTCATTAATAAAAGATACTAGGCATGTTCCTTGCTATAATGGTAAAACTAATTCAGCATTACAATTGTTTATTTATGACAATATATATTGATGGATATGAGGAACCTAATGAACAAAGAAAAATATAGCACATATTTAAACACATTTTATGCTAGATACATAATTCAGCTGTTATAGGTACAAAAGTCAAGTTTGCTAACCTTTTATGCTCCCAGGTACCACCATCAACATCTTCATCAGAATCATACTCATATTTAACCTTTCCTTGTTGTTCTAAACGCTCTGCCTCCCTCTTCTTGGCTTGGAGAAGTTGAAACACTACATTCATCTGTTGGAAGGCAAAGTTTTTGCATTATAACTAGCAATGTTTCAATCAAATGAGGTCAATAAAAAAAAGTATCCCTGAGCCTGTATATTTTCTTATATGAACAAGGTCATGTAATGACTAAGGAGAGTGCAATGATAACAGAAGAGTGCAAATAGCATGTAAGGTGTAATAAGGTGTGTTCTGCGGCAGAAAGAGCAATTAAAATAAAACTTTAACACTTTCGCGCCTACGGCATGCACGCCACCAACTTAGAGGTCATGCCTCCGGCGTGCGGGCGAGCGCGCAGCGACACCGAAATGTGTATACTCATTTTAGTTTTCTCACCTTAATTCTCGTGCTATGTTGTTCATTTTGGTATCATTGTGTTCGCAATAGAATTCCCTACAGGTGTATATGCATATACAGTAATGTCCAAAAGCCCGGCGCGACTCCCAACAGCAAAGCCTAAATTTGGCAAAAGTTACCCGAGAGCGCACAAAATCAGTAAAATCTGTATACAGTACTCGTTTCAGTCTTCTCACCTTAATTCTCGTGCTACGTCGTTTGTTTTGGTATCATTGTGTTCGCAATTAAATTCCCTGCAGGTGTATATGCATATAATGTCCAAAAGCCTGGAGAAACTCCCTGCAGCAAAGCCTAAAGTTACCTGTGAACGAGCACCAATTTGCACACTGCAACCTAATGTGTATTCTCATCCAGTTTGATAACATCAATTTTCATGTTACATCACTCGTTTTGGTATCAAATTGTTCGCAATAAAAAGGCGCGTATTTTAAAACTAGTCTCATAATAATAGAGCAACAAATAGAATTTTAACAAATATTTTAATTTTGGATGCTCATCATCATAAAATTATTTATATCTTTAAAGTGTTCTGACAAATTTTCGCGTTACATCTTTCATTTTGGTATCAAATTGTTCGGAATCTAATGGCACGCATTTTAAAACTAGTCCCATAATAATAGCACAATAAATAGAAATTTAACAAATATTTTAAAATTTTGACCAAAAATTAAAAGTGAGCGGTAGTGTTACCATTGTGCAATTACTGAGAGTAATATAAAATTGATATTTTTTTATCGTAATGTCTCAACTTCATAGTTAAGCTTAAAATCCGTGTCTAAGCAAATTTGCTTGAAATCCATCTTGGGGCGCATCCGATCCCTCAATCGTTGTCGCCCCTCAACAACTACTCATCTTGCAGTTCGATTTGGAGGTGGCCGATATTTGTGCAAATATAAAATATAATTCTGCTACCACCTCATATGGCCTGTTACAAGTTTATGTAAATTAACAATTAACATGTAAAAAAATCTTACCTTCATTTGATCTTCACACTGTTTCCATTGTGCTTCCGTTAGGTCGGTCGAATCAAATACCCTCTTAGCATAAGCAATAATGGCAGGAGTATTCCTTGTTAAGCGAGTAACCATGACACCATGAATGGCTGCTATGTGTTCACCTTCACCCACCATACCCATCAGATTATCTGGCACATTCAGGCTCAATGGGGTGACTGGAGCTGGTGGTACTTAGAAAACAAAACACAATATGTTAGATAATGATATTCATGGAACATATGTAATTTTTAATGGACAATTCACTGTCGTGTCTAAAGTGTTTGGAGAACAAATCTCACCTAACAATTAAACAACAATTCTCACCTAACTTAAACAATGGTATATATACTAGGGCCAACATTCTACTTCAGAAATTAGTTTTGTTTACACTCAAGCATTTAAGATATGCATACTTGCTAAGATTCATTTTGTTATGGAACTCTGAGCAACCAGTGCATACATTTTTAGGCAAATACTTTTACTCATAAGGATGGATGGTTATTTACATAAATACAGTGGGGTATACTGGTATATCTTCCAGATCAAGATGCATATCTATAACCTGATATGTATTAATGGGTCAAAAGGACAGCATCCTTAAGTCAAGAAGGGCAAAGAGAGGAGCCTTGGGGGTGGCGCCCTGTGGCGCAGCACTCTCTTTCTGGTAACCTTGGCCCACTTTCATCTTGTCGGCAGGGCATTTTATGCATATACTCCTGAGAATTTCATTGCAAACACAATGTTACCAAAATGAAAGACCTAGGACCAGAATTGAGGTAACAAAGTTGGAAGGAATATACCATTTTATTGCTCTTGATTAGCCCTCACGGGGGTAACGCGCTGTCACTTACTCTGTTTGCTGTGGGTGGTAAGCCGGGCTTTTGGAGTTTACATGCATTTACACTTCTAGATAATTCTATTGCGAACACATTGATTCCAAATTTAATATCTTAGGACAAGAATTGAGGTGACAAAGTTGAAAAGAGTATACACTTTTCAGAATAACCGCGCTCTCCTCTCGCCCTCCCGGGGAACACCAATCCCCACATTAGGTAGTGCGGCGTTTGCAGGCGCAAAGCGAGAAAGTGTTAAATTTAAGTGTGTACATAATGTTAAAATTAAAGTTGCAGTAATTTTAGTGTACAATAGTTTTCATGAACAGTATTGTAGTACTCAACATACAGCAGAACTACTTTTAATTAACATAGTGCTAACAGCATAATGCACTGCAGTACGTATTTACTGTAGAGCATTTACAACTTCACGAAACTTCAAGGACATAACTCCAACAATAAGGTAAATAAATGAATTACAGTATTTTTTAGTACAGCATGTAATATGATAATACATTTTTATTGTGTAAAAGAAAAAAAAAGACAGTGGCGCAAACACCTCCAGAACGTCACCTCTTGCTACGAATCCAACGCACTGGGGTTGGTCCCATATAGTATGTTGAATCAAGGTTGTACTGTACATAGAACTAATAATTGAAAATATATTTGTGGCAACATCCGGTGCTTGAATGACCCACGTGACCGTGTCTGGGCGAGTCACACACGGGCAACCAGGCCATGATGACATCAGAGCGCACCTTGTCCACGTCCCCACAACCAAAGTAAGTGGAATTTGGTATTTATTTTTACAGACATGTTCAGGGAAGGGAATTTATCATTTTACGAAGAGAAAAGTAGTTTTTGGGAACACTTTATTTCATGCGCACAGGGGAAAGTTCACAATAAACTCGGCGCAGCAGTGGTTAACCAGATTAGATTTCCGCAGACACTCAGAGGTACCAATTAATATGGATAATAGGGATCTGACTGTACAACAACTACAAAAAATACAAAAATATGATACTGCAACTGAAATCTAAGAAAGCATATTGAAGCATCACTAACCTTAAAATTTGTACTATAATTTGATGTAGCTTAAATCAAATGAAGCCAAGTTACTGACAGTTTTTAATGTCTGTCAAGGGAAAGATATACGAAACAAGGAAAAGTAAAAAGCTAAAGGAAATTTTAAGTACAGTATTACAGTACAGTACAGTATTTAAATTTCAAACAAAAATATTTGTTAGACGTCTGCAATTACCTTACCGAATGCAGTGTTCCAAGCTACTCTTAAATTCTCATTCATATACTGCACTATTATATAACTAATCTCCACAACATCTCCTTAATACATACCTGGGGCTGGCAGCTGTACTGGGATGGCCTCCGGGGTAGACGATTTTCCCCAGCGACTTTTCCGTCTCTTGGCCCGAGGGTCGACAGAATCTTGGCTCTTGCTGGAATCATCATCACTGGAACCAGCTGAGAGAGAAACTAGCAAACCTCATCAGTAAAGCTGCCTCACTACTAACCTAGCAACAGGGAGTGGGAGAGAAACAATGTACTCATCAGTATGGATGACTTGAATTTCCTAATGATGGGGGAGCGAATAATAATCAGGCTCTGAGTGAATATGAAATGCTCCTTTCTGAGCAGGGCACTTGGATGCTCCGTAGGGCAACATTCATTCCAGTCCAGAAAGCATAAATCATGACAGTAAATCATGATTTATCAGTAAATCAAGGCAGGGAGACATTAAGTATTGGTGCAACTGGGATTTTTAGAAACATTTCTCTTGGGCCATACTGGTACTAAGGAGACACTGAAGCAGCTTAGGAGTGATAAGATTTGGAAGTGGCCAAAGAAAATTCACTCACAAGTACACTAATCCTATCTAAGCATGGGCTGGACAAATATCTTTGTGGTTGTGGCTGAATATAAGTGGGGGGGAGCCTTGTGTTGGTCAATTACATTTCTGCCATTGTGTTCGTATACTTAGCAACATTTTGCCATTGTTAGACCCATTTTGATAGTTGAGGTTTGAGAAATGTATTATGAAATGGATATAAAAGGATGACAAAATTAATCCTAAGCATTAGGATCCTTTGATGCAAAGAGATTAAAAAAAAACAGCGTTGAATGTAATGAAACGCAATTTTCTGGGTGAGATCCGGAGGCTCCCCAGAGCTTACTAGGCTGATATGCTAATGTCAGACATTGGCATCAGTCATATGTATGGAGTTCTGTGGGCCTACCGGGGACCACGAGCCAGAACCTGGCCCCCTCAGAGAGGCAAGGGGAGCAATGGCCTATAGAAACCCCCCGTGTGGTTGGAAGCATTCTATGTCTGCCATCGAGGGGGTCAGGCACCCAGAAAGATAAGCATTCCAAAACAAACCCCTATCCTGGTGAAAGTATTGCTACCAAAAGCAGAACAAGTGGATAGAACTCCCCTAAAAGAAACAAGCAAACGATCATGACGTCACACGTCGTCGCGCCACTGTCTGCACAGCTCCCCCCTCCTCCCCGGGAGGATGAAGGGAGAGCCCTAAACCCCTCACGCCGGCTATCCACCCATCAGGTCTGAGGCTTGATGTAAAAAAAAAAAAAAAAAAATAAAAATAAAACGCCGACTGGGGGCACGGAGGGATGCTGGATAGCCTCCGGGTCTCACCCAGAAAATGCCGTTTCATTACATTCAACGCTGGTTTTCTGGGGAGAGCCCCTTCAGCTCCCTGGAGCTAACTACCCACAGAGGAAGAACATAGGGACCAACCCGGAAGGTGGTCGTTGCTCACTCCACAACTCGAAGTCGAGACAACTGGCTGCAACCGCCGACCCAGAACAGCACAGGCCCGACTAGGCCTAGGGACGAGCATGAGGTAACGAGCAGCCAGGACCCTGTACGACCGCCAAAAGCCCTGTGCCCGAATGTCAGCACAGGACACGGTGCCAAAGACGGCAGCAAGCACAGTGAACACACGAACGTCATGGACATGGGGATACACAGGCTGGCTAGCCGTAAGAACACTGCAGACGACCTGGGAGACCCGCACCCACGAACAGGGAAGAAAGGAAAACGGGATCAACTCAAAGCGCGTCCCCAGACACAGAGGCCGAGGCACGCAAGTAACGGCAAAGAGCCGCTACCTAACACAAAACATGATGCATCAACAACCAAGGGACCCCTCCGGAAAGCAACAGTCTCAATCTTCGCCAGAAAAGGAGACGGCTGCAGACGAACAAAACCATCACGAAGACCGAAAGAGTAGAAACCCCTGCGCCGGAGGAGAGCATGAACCTCCCCAACCCGACCCCCAGAAGCCAATGCCAACAGAAAAGGAGCCTTGGAGAACAAACTTGAACCGAAGGGGCCACAACAAACCGAGAAGAAGAAAGATAAGAGGGCACTCTGTCCAATGATCAGAACGGCTCAGGCGGTGCAAGAGCAGGCCGGAGGTGAAACAATGCACGAGACAGCTTGCAAAACGGTGCAGAATTAACATCAAAACCGAAAGCAGGACGAAGCGGCTCCGCCATCGCCACACGATACGAGGCGACAGTATGGGGCAAGATGACGGCCCCAAACCTCCACAAGAAAAGGACAAGGTCACGCCAACAACACAGCTACCATAGAAGGGACAGAAGGAAAAGGAAGGACCGCCAAGAAGAAGCACGCAGGTGGGACACTATCAACGAAGCCACCCGACCAACAACAGAAGGCGAGAGACTCAAGGCAGAACCGAACTGGCCCCGCCATGGGCCAATCAAGCCTAGGAAGAGGCAGAGCCGCAGGAAGATCTCGGGTGCGACCCTGGAGCCAGCAAGGCCGGAAACCCAAACCGGCAGAGGAGGAGGTGGAACATCCACCGTACAGAAAACACTCCAACTCCCGGCTCACGCACCACCTAGAAGACATTCACCACACACTAGGTACAGTGCTGAAACAAACACTGGAGCCAGAGCACATGACCTCAGCCTTTAGTATCAGCCTTAGAACTGACGGGTGGATAGTCGGCGTGAGGAATCTGGGGCTCCCCCTTCCCCCTCCCGAGGAGGGGGGAGTTGCACTGACAGCGGCGCTGCGATGTGTGATGTCATGATTGTTTGCGTGTTTCTTTTAGGGGGGTTCTATCCACTTGTTCAGCTTTTGGTAGCAATACAAACCCCAGAATAGGGGGTTTGTTTTGGGATGCTTATCTTTATGGGTGCCTGACCCCGTCGACGGCAGACAGAATACTTCCAACCACACAGGGATTTCTATAGGCCATTGCTTCCCATGCCTCTCTGAGGGGGCCAGATTCTGGCTCGTGGTCCCCAGTAGGCCCACAGAACTCCATACACATGACTGATGCCAAAGTTTGAAATTAGTATATCAGCCTAGTAAGCTCCAGGGACTCAAAGGGGCTCCCCTCCAGAAAAGCTGGTTTACATTTTCTATAAAAGCAAATGACTGAAATATACAAATGGATGAAAAGTATAATAAGGATATTAATAAGATACAAAATATATTAATAATTATCACTTTCATGTTCTGATGACACTAAATCATGCATACTTCGACAATAAACATTCTGACGCTAACTTTTTGAAGTCACTAAATTGGACAGAGCTTTCCTTGGAGGACATTTGAAAAGATAAATTACCCTGATGTAGAATGTCTCCCTGCCCAGAGTATTACGATTCACTCATTTCAAAACTGTATGTATCTAGCCTTAGGAAGCATTCTAGTGAAATATCTCAGAAAATGCCCTGATCAATACATCCACCATACCACTTGTCTAGCAGTCTGAAAATTAAATGCCCATTTTAACAGAAACCAATCTTATTACATCACAAATCAGGAAAGAAAGAGAATAGCTTTATCAGTAACCAAACAAATGCAAGAACAGTTTTAATGTTAATATTAAACACCAATGACATTAACCTGGGAAAATCTTGCTTTAAATTGCACATTACTTTGGTTAATAATATCCCCTTTTAGCATTTAGAAAACACCTCAAAACTTTCAAAGGACAGAATACGTATACGTTATTTTCACAGCTGAGAAAATTGTATATACCGTTAAGTGTCTTATCCGCCGAGTAAAGAAAAAGTCTTAACTACATTAAGTAATATGCAAATAAATCAACCAAGTTATGATAAGTAAATGAGAGCTGGGAAAGTGTGCACAACATATGTGCTAGGTGAGAAAATTCACTGGGGCTGTGAGGTGATGCGAACCTACGATCAAGGCATTACTAACCACATACTCTACCACTGTACCACTGTCACTTGCATATCTTATAGTCCCTAACTCGGCTTTTCTATGCAGGGATGCGTTTCTAGACATCTTGCTCTTAAGTAATTTTGTTAAGATGCATTCCAGGACTAAAAATCTGATTACATTACTGTACTCTACATACAAAATTTTAATAATGTGTGTACAATAATATGTACATTAACAATTATTATACATCATATTTATCATTAACAATTCATATAGTTCATTAACAATTATATAAATCATATTATTACTGTAAAAGTGTTAATTTTAACAAATTAGTAAGAGTCCAATGCAATTTACTGTGGTGTAGGTCACAAATCTCAATTATTGGCTATGCTATTAGTGCAGTGAAATTTCAACAAAAAACCAACGTTGAATGTTATGAAACGCCATTTTCTGGGCGAGTCCCTACGGCTCCCTGAAGTGGTCCCCTGCCTACTGGGGACCACTAGCCAGAACATGGCCCCCTCAATGAGGCGCAGGGAGCAATGTCCCTGGAAAATCCCCGTGGTTAGGGGTTATCCTTATCTGCCATCGACCGGGGTTAGGCACATAGAAAGGAAGGCATAACAAAACCGCCGCAAATTCCTGCACTGTGCTGTGTGCCCGATGGAAGGAAGGACCCCACTGCCCCTGGCTAGTTTGTTAAGTACTGGTCACAAAGCCCCAGCCAAGAGATGAGGCATCCGTGACCACATCGAGCGAGGGCTCAGGTAAACGCCAAGGCACTGAACCCCCTCAAAAAAACAAAGAGGAAGCCGGCGATGCAGCAACCAATGCAAGGCCTCCGGAGGACGAACCCAGTGATCGCGAGAGAGGCAGAAGAAGTATCTCTGAAGGAACCAGAACAGCCACCAAAGTCAAACCCACCCCAGCAGGTAGGCCAGCACGGGCAAATTCAGACTCGCACACAACTGCTTGAGCAACCACCGAGTGACCCGGGACCCGCCTTCCCCCGGAAACAGTCGAAGATGGGAACACAGCCGCAGCAACGCCTCTGAAGGGAGAGACATGGAAGCGGGTCCCAAACAAGACTCAACCAGGTCCAGTTTACCAGGAACCCAAACCAAGCGAGCTGGGAAAGAACCATGAGCAGACAAGCAGACCAACGGGGAGTTCACACCAGCCAGTCGTCGAGATAGGCCAGAACCCAAACCCATAGCAGACGCAGACGGGTCACCACGACCCAGGTAAAGACACGTGAAAACGCGAGATGCCAGATTCAAGCCAAAAGGAAAGCAACGAAAGTGGCAAGTTAGACGTCCCACCACGAAACCTAACCAGTCCCTGAACCCTGAACGAATAGTAATGTGCCAATACGTGTTCTTTGGGTCCAGGGACACCATCCAGGCACCCGGCTCCAAAAGAAGCCGGACCTGAGACAGAGTGGTCATCCTAAAGGACGGGCATGGAACCCAAGAGGTTCAGACAGGACAAGGTCAGAAAACAGATCCACAGTCCCATTTCGGCACTGGAAACAGGAGAGAAACCTGAGGGACGGGGTCATTTCCACCACGTCCAAGGGCCCTCTCTGAGATGACCTAATGAAGTGCAGGAAAAGAAGCCTGCCCCGCCAGACCCGATCCCCCCAGGAGGAGGAGGAGCCGCCACCCAACGCTACAACAGGCTGGATGACACGACCCGAAATGCCCACAAATCACCACAAATGTATGCCCTTGACATTCTGTAGCCTCTTTGTAATTTTCTATGGATTAACAGTGAAAAATTGCTAGTTATTCTATTCTGCCGCCCAGCCCATTGTTCATGTATGTGCACACATGCACACAAGTGTGTGTGTGGCAGGTTATACTGAAATAACATCTTGAATAGCAGTCATGGCTCAGAAATGGTGTCCAGCTGTTAATGAATTTGCAGAATCTAAATGAATGCTTCTATCAACTTGAATTATTTATGAATGTACATTTACAAATACTTTACTATGCCTTTCTGTGTATCTGCATATAAAGACCCTGTATTACTGTATATTTACATATAAAAATAGTCAATTATATATTAAAATTGTCTATACAGTATATTGTATAAGGATTTCTTTGTACAATTTTATATACTGTAAAATTTTATATACATAAAAGAAAAACCAGTATTGAATGTAATGAAATGCCATTTTCTGGGTGAGTCCCGGAGGCTCCCCGGAGATATCCAGGCTAATATGAATATCCCTAACTTTGGCATCAGTCGATGCCAAAGTTAGGGGGACCACGAGCCAGAACCTGGCCCCCCCTCAGAGAGGCACGAGGAACAATGGCCTATGGAAATGCACATGTCATTTGGAGCATTCTATATCTGCCATCGACTGGGACAGGCATCCAGAAAGGTAAGTACCCCAAAACAAACCCCTATTCTGGTTAAAAAAAAAAAAAAAAAAAAAAAAAAAGGGAAAATAGACAAACGAGTAGACAGAACTCCCCAAATGAAAACTAGCAAACGAGCATGACGTCACACGAGCTGCGCTGCAGTCTGTGTAGCTCCTCCCTCCCTGGGAGGGGAAAGGGGAGAGCCCCAGACCGCCTGCTGGCGATCCACACCCCAGTTCTGTGGCTGGATATCAAAACACGCGAAAAAACACCGACCGGAGGGAGGGTTGCCGGGGAGCCTCCAGGACTCATGCAGAAAATGGCATTTCATTACCTTCAACGCTGGTTTTCTAGGGAGGAGCCGCTACGGCTCCCCCCACCCCAGAAAACTTTTTTTGAGGACGTGAGTCTTATTTTACTCAGCGTCACCCCCTTTCTCTTACTACATATGAACCTACTGCACCAAAGACGAAAAAGGAAAGGGACCTACCCAGGAGGGGGTCAGTGCTCACATCTCAACTCGAAGTATAACCCTAGTATACCCTAGTATAACAGGGGAAGGGATACCAAGGCAGACCCCCACAAGTCAAAAACAAAAAACAAAAAACCTCGCAAGAGGACAGCATACCGAGAAGAAACAGAGCCGGCCACTATCACAGGTGAAAACTAGCTGTGCAGTACCCTGTGCCCCTACCAGTGCAAAACTACCACTTACCCCAAGGTTGACACAAGTGGAAACACCCCAAAACACTCAGGGCGGTCAATCGCCAAGCAGCAAAACACCAACAGAGGTCTTTACGTGACCTCTGTTGGCATGTGCATATATGCACATGTGCATATTACTCCCAGCTCACACACCACCATAAGAGCAGTATTGAACCAGAGGACAGCACAATACGAGTCTGGAGCTGGAGCCACACAACCATGCCGTATCACACCAGCCGAAGAACTGGGGTGTGGATCACCAGCAGGCGGTCTGGGGCTCCAACTTCTACCTCCCGGGGAGGGGGGGTAGCTGTGCAGACATGCAGCACGGCTCGTGTGACATCATGCTCATTTACTAGTTTTCATTTGGGGAGTTCTGTCCACTCGTTTGTCTATTTTCATTGTTTTTAACCAAAATAGGGGTTTGTTTTGGGCGCCTACCTTTCTAAGTGCCTGTCCCGGTTGATACCTGGTTACCTGGTTGATGGGGTTCTGGGAGTTCTTCTACTCCCCAAGCCCGGCCCGAGGCCAGGCTTGACAAGCATGACTTGATAGCAGATATAGAATGCTCTAAATCACATGTGCATTTCTATAAGCCATTGCTCCTTGTGATTCTCTAAGGAGGCCAGGTTCTGGCTCGTGTTCCCCGGTGAGCCTAGAACTCCACCCACATCAACTGGTGCCAAAGTTAGGGATATTCATATCAGCCTAGACAGCTCCGGGCAGCCGCAGGGGCTCCATCCAGAAATAAATAATTGTGACAGTCACATTTTTAATCACGTGTTTATTTTCGTGATATACACACACATATATTATATAGATTTATATTATTGATGTATTATATATATAGTGTGCTATGCTTACCAGGAGGGGCTACTGCAGACAGTTGTTTTGCTTTCTCTTGAGCTCTCTTAAGAGCATCCCTGAACCAATCAGGCTGGTCTTCATCTTTCACTGTCTGATTACTCGAGTCATCTTCCTGCTAAAACCAAAGTTTTTGTAACACATGCTAATACTGTATGTGCATTAACACAACAATTACAATTTCATCAGGAAGAAGTGTTTCCATATTTAAGTTAAACTAAGTTTAGAGCTGTGAATCAGATGGGCTCTCTGGTACAGGATGTCTTGATGGCTAGACACGGCTGGTGTGACCTTTTCCACTAGTTAAAAAGTGTCCCTAATGTTAGGTACTTGAGACACCATTCTATTCTGGTGCTACATTTGCTGGAACATGTGGATTCTTTAAGCTATATCCCAGGCACTTCAGCCAGTGGAGCACATATAATTAATATCAGGTTAAGACTATCGCGCTCCCAGCAGAAGGTTCTTTAACTTTCCCCTCGTGCGGCGAGCATTTCGGGGTGACCTCGTGGCGACAGTGAAAAGTGTATGCTCTTTTCGGTCTCCTCACCTTAATTTTCCATGTATGCATTTAAATTTGGTATCAATTTGTTCACAAGAGAATGCTCTAGAGGAATATATATATAAAATTTCACCAAAGCCGACGTGAGACTCGCACCAAATAAAAAACTATGGCGATCGTTAGCAGTGAGTGCCAAACAGCGATGAAATGTTTATGCTCTTTTCAGGTTTGTCAACCCCAGAATTGTTCTATGTCGTTAATTTTGGTATCACTGTGATCGCAATAAAATTCCGTACACAGATATACGAAAATAAAGTACAAAACATGGGTGCACCCCACCCACAAGACCGTGGGAAGTTGCCCAAGGGTTACCCGCTACCGCACGCCCAACTGCACATCAGCTACACCCCTACTGAGAAGTGTACATGCTTTTTCATGTTTTTGACCGTAATTTTCGATGTACGTGTTTCATTTTGGTATCAATGTGTTCTCAATGAAATGTTCTAGAGGAACATATGTATAACATGTCACTAAAGCTAATGTGATGCCGGCACCAAATAAGTCATTTGTTAGCCATGCATGCCAAAAAGTCCAAACATGTTGCTACTCTTTTTCAGGTTTATCAAGTCCAAACTTGATTCGACATCTTTCTTTTTTGTATCACTGTGATCGCAATAAAATTCCCTACACAGACATATGCATATAAATTGGACAACATGGGGGCGCATAACCCGCAACGATCCCTAAAGTCGCAGAAGTGTTACCCACTAGAGCACACTCATTGCCACACCCGCTACACCCAATTCACCGGACAAACACATACAGTTTGCTAACAGAAGTTTTTGTGCTACATTGTTCATTGTGGTATCAAATTATTCGCAATAAAATGCTCTAAATAGAAAGAAAGACAAATGTGTGAAAGACACGCGAACCAATATAAATGCCGATAATAACCGAGATTTGCACAAGTTCGGGACACGAGCCAGCGGCGCTCCAGTCACGAGCGTGATAAACAAAGCACTAGGCCCACCGCATGGCCTGACGACCCAGAATGTCATGCGGCATATGGAGGAGAGTGGGAAGACAATGACGCTCATTTTGAAACCATCTAGAAGTTGATTGGATGACAATTTAATTTTTTACAAATATTTTAGTGGATGACGCGCGCAATAGTGATCGGATTACATTAAGGAGAAAACTTATGACGATAATAGGCATCATCGGAGAGCGAGTGTTAAGCTTGTGCTGTCCTTTCATGGAACGTAGGTCTCCTGCTTATGTGGAGTCAGACAAAACATAACATACGATGTGGTAGAGCATTTTAGTGTTACTTGGGGGATTAATTAATAAATAATATTTGCTTTAACTAGAATTTGGCTCCTCCCTTGTCTTGAGTTAGGTAGTTATTTCCTAGAGATCAGCCTTTATGTTTTGAATTGTGGGAACTAATTCTCAGGTCGGGCCTTGCCTAAACTTCTCCAAGATTTATTCTTGTAGAGAAAGTTATTCTCCGTTATCAATCATGACATTTAATTTACAAGCTCCCAGATTTCAACAATGATCTATTTGCTTCCTCAAAAAAAATTTGAGTAACTCCCTGGTCACATTTTATATAGTTTACAATGAAAATAAACAACCTTGTTTAAATTACTTACTTTAATGTCAAATTCTGTTTTGACTTTTCCAAGATCTGGACTGGTGAATGATGAGAAATCATGTTCCTGAGACAATGAATTGGCTGGATTCATGTACTTTAATGAATTAATTTGAATTAAGGGTTTCAACTTGTTTGTAGCTGGTCGTGATGCTTTGTACATGTCTGTAATGCCAGGTTTCTCCTCTTTCACCTCTGTAAAATAAAGATAAACCTAAAAAATCTTGGAAGAAAATTTAATGGGTAGATAGAGGAACAAAAAAATAGACAAAATTATAAGACAAAACAGTAATTTACAAAATACGGCAAAGCAGTGCTTTTCAACCAGATGATTGGTTAACCAATGGGTGAAAATTAGGGCAAATAAGAATGATGGAGTTATTTTATATATGTGTATATCTGTGTCCTGTATTGTATTTATGTTCTGTACAGTATATATGCTACAAATCTTTGTTATATATTCATGTATTGTATAATGTATATACTGTACTTGTAGCACAAAATTACCTGTAACATATCACAAATATAGTAAATGTATTAAATATAGATTTTGCATGATTCCATCAATTTCTAAACTCTCAAATCAAGAACAGTAAGTATGTGACTTCATTTGGGAATAAAAATTTGCCCAACGACTTCTGTATTAGTGTGAGCACTTGAAATGCACACTAATTACAAACTATTATTATTTGTCTAATATCTGATGTTGCCTTCACATGAAAACCTACCTAATCAGTTTTTACTTTTTTAGCTGTAACCTAACCATAAGAGGGAATATGGCCAGGCTACATATATAAACCCATGCTTGCCTGTGCAACCTTGGGTTTATACACCAAGAATCCTGCAAGCCATATTTTCTCTCTTTGGTATGTTTTTTTAACTAGCCTTTAAACCACATTCAATTAATTTCCCAGAGCAGAATTAAACAATTACTATAAAAATAAATTGGATTTGTATTGTTCAAACAAATTGTCAAATTCTTTCAATTGTGAATGAGAAAATAACAAGAAACTTATTTGCTCATATAAATCATGAATGTGGGTGTTGAAATGATTTTTCCATCGTCGCTTGTCACGTCTAATGAGCATGTAATTCGTGTAAAGTTCCCCAATTCATGTTAGCATTCTCATATTACTTGATATGTATCTTGTTAGATCAAACTAATTTCCCATTATCAGCATAACCCATTCCACATAGACTAGTTCCTTAACACTCCTATTGAGCATTGCCGATGAGCACACAAAACAATGTTAAACGCTTTCACTTGCAATGTTTATACTTAATAATAAGACTAAGCAAAAATTATTGCATGACGACATTCGCGTCATCAACCACTCTCTGAGTTTTGGTTTTATACCGCATAATGTGTCATTAGGATGCGAAAGTGTTAAGTTTCTTGAACTCATTTTGTTTCCAGCGCCCAACAATACCATGTCATATTTCTTTAAATTTAAAGCGGCTATCCTTGTCCAACTTGTTCATTCTCCTTGGATTTCTCTTTGTCTCTGCTAATGCTGAAAGATTAAGTTCCCTTAATATGCCCTTGTAACTTAATTCTCCTAATTTAGGTACTGTACTAATCTTGCTGCAAACCTCTATAATCCAACATAATAAATTTTGAAAGACAACCATTATTTATTTGGTGAGATTTGTATGTTATTCCAATACATGATACCTAATTATGGGCAGTCTGATGGGGGGTAGAAATAGCCTAAGCTACTCTATCCCTTTGAGATGTATTTATATCTCAATAAACATACTTGAACTTGAACTTGGCAGTCTGAAAGAATCTAAGAAATCTTTAAAAGTAAGAAATAAACAATTCCTACCTGTTTTCTTCTCAGCCAGCTTTTTGAACTGTTCAAAAAAGCTGCCATCATTACTAAATTTATTGGGAACCTGAGACGCTGCTGCTACACTGTGGAGAAAAAGAATACATAATAAATTCAAGTACTGTATTGTAAATATTACAAGTGAATCACAAAACAAATTCTATTTATAGAATAGTATCAAATTAGCAAAAAGAATAAGAGAAGATATTTCCTCAATTTTAAAACACTTGTAACAAAACACAATGAAAAAGAATCTCATTTATGACCAACTTTGAGAAATAATGGAATCATTTGGACAAGATGTGAATGCTTATGTTTTAGATTAAATTAAAAAAAAATTATATATCCTGCATTGTACAATTTTTTTTTTTAAATACTGGGTTTGTTTACATCTTTAGCAAATGCAAATACTTTAAAACAAAATCTTACTAATTGACATGAAGAATACCAGAATAGTATTTGGCTATACAGTGGAAGTAGTAATGGCTGGTACAGCAAGAGGACGGAGGTTAGAAGGCTGGCATAGTGAAGGGCCAGTTAGGAGGCAACAAGACGATTCCTCTCGCAAGTACCATGGCTTGTACACCTCAAAGGAAACACAACCCAAAACAAATGGCAAGGCAAGGCAGGGTTAGGGCTTGAGAATGGTCCAGGACGGACCAAAATGTCGTTGTCCCTTCACCTTCTAGTGTGTGGTCTGGTCAACAAGGCAGGGTTAGACTGTCTAGCTTGTTTAGACTAGATAGGCAAGGCAAGGCTAGGCTAGTTGTCTAGTTAAGTTAGGCTAGATAGGCAAGGCTAGGCTAGGATAGGCAAGGCTAGGCTGGGCAAGACTAGGATAGGCAAGGCTAGGCTGGGCAGCAGTAGGATAGGCAAGGGAAGGATAGGCAAGGGAAGGATAGGCAAGGCTAGGATAGGCAAGACTAGGATAGGCAAGACTAGGATAGGCAAAGCCAGGCTAGGCAATACTAACATAATTATGCTACGCAAGGCTAAATATGATAGACTGAACTGTTGTGTACAAAGTGACACCTCTATCCTATACACTGCATGTCACTACTCTCTCCAAATAAATAAATGATACCAATCGAGTGAACAGTAAAGATGGTGACGCGTAGAAACGTCCCACCCCAACACGGCACCCACACACACACTTACACACTTACACAAGCCACAAACTCCCCCCCCCCCCACCTTACACTGCAACAAACACCTTCCATTACAAGCAGCAGATGAGCACCAACCTGGGAATAGGCTGGAGAATAGGCTGGGGTATAGGCTGGGGAGGCTTGGTGGGTAATGGGGCGCTGAGTCTCTTGGTCTTGGCGTCTCCTTGCTGCTGTTCCCTCATCTTCCTCTCTATCTCGCGCTTCCTCTTCAGCAGGATCTCTTCTTGCTTCGACATTTCTCGCATTCTAACTTGAACTGGATACTTGTTGGACATGGTAGAGCGGTGGGGAGTGTGAGAACACGGAGGAGGTGTTCACCTTGGCCAGGCGGGGCGGCCATGCGGCGGCGGAGCTGCCTCCCCTACCCCATCCCTTTCCCTCACATACGCACACACACACGCACACGCACACGCACACACGTACGTACGCACACACGTACGTACGCACACACGTACGTACGCACACACGTACGTACGCACACACACACACACACACGCGCACACACACACACACACACACGCACACACACCCAAAACATACAAACATACATCCCCCAAACATACCAGCGATACAAAGATGCGAGAAACAACTACACGGCAGTGAGGAGAGAGGCAGAAAGAAATTTTGAAAAAGGGATTGCGGACAAATGTAAAACAGAACCAGGTCTATTCTATAAATTCATAAACAACAAATTGCAGGTAAAGGATAATATTCAGAGGTTGAAAATGGGAAATAGATTCACGGAAGATGAAAAGGAAATGTGTGAAACACTAAATGAAAAGTTCCAAAGTGTGTTTGTACAAAATGAAATCTTTAGGGAACCAGATACAATAAGAATTCCAGAGAACAACATAGAACACATAGAGGTGTCTAGAGACGAAGTGGATAAAATGCTCAAGGAGCTCGGTAAGAACAAAGCAGCTGGCCCAGATGGCGTTTCACCATGGGTTCTGAGAGAATGTGCATCTGAGCTCAGCATTCCACTTCACCTGATCTTTCAGGCATCCCTGTGTACAGGAATCGTAGCAGACGTGTGGAAACAGGCTAACATAGTTCCAATCTACAAAAGTGGCAGCAGGGAAGACCCCCTCAATTATAGACCTGTATCATTGACAAGTGTAATAGTGAAAGTATTGGAAAAACTAATCAAAACTAAATGGGTAGAACACCTAGAGAGAAATGATATAATATCAGACAGACAGTATGGTTTTCGATCAGGAAGATCCTGTGTATCGAATTTACTCAGTTTCTATGATCGGGCCACAGAGATATTACAGGAAAGAGATGGCTGGGTTGACTGCATCTATCTGGACCTAAAAAAGGCTTTCGACAGAGTTCCACATAAGAGGTTGTTCTGGAAACTGGAAAATATTGGAGGGGTGACAGGTAAGCTTCTATCATGGATGAAAAATTTTCTGACTGATAGAAAAATGAGGGCAGTAATCAGAGGCAATGTATCGGAATGGAGAAATGTCACAAGTGGAGTACCACAGGGTTCAGTTCTTGCACCAGTGATGTTTATTGTGTACATAAATGATCTACCAGTTGGTATACAGAATTATATGAACATGTTTGCTGATGATGCTAAGATAATAGGAAGGATAAGAAATTTAGATGATTGTCATGCCCTTCAAGAAGACCTGGACAAAATAAGTATATGGAGCACCACTTGGCAAATGGAATTTAATGTTAATAAATGTCATGTTATGGAATGTGGAATAGGAGAACATAGACCCCACACAACCTATATATTATGTGAGAAATCTTTAAAGAATTCTGATAAAGAAAGAGATCTAGGAGTGGTTCTAGATAGAAAACTATCACCTGAGGACCACATAAAGAATATTGTGCAAGGAGCCTATGCTATGCTTTCTAACTTCAGAATTACATTTAAATACATGGATGGCGATATACTAAAGAAATTGTTCATGACTTTTGTTAGGCCAAAGCTAGAATATGCAGCTGTTGTGTGGTGCCCATATCTTAAGAAGCACATCAACAAACTGGAAAAGGTGCAAAGACATGCTACTAAGTGGCTCCCAGAACTGAAGGGCAAGAGCTACGAGGAGAGGTTAGAAGCATTAAATATGCCAAAACTAGAAGACAGAAGAAAAAGAGGTGATATGATCACTACATACAAAATAGTTACAGGAATTGATAAAATCGACAGGGAAGACTTCCTGAGACCTGGAATTTCAAGAACAAGAGGTCATAGATTTAAACTAGCTAAACACAGATGCCGAAGAAATATAAGAAAATTCACCTTCGCAAATAGAGTGGTAGACGGTTGGAACAAGTTAAGTGAGAAGGTGGTGGAGGCCAAGACCGTCAGTAGTTTCAAAGCGTTATATGACAAAGAGTGCTGGGAAGACGGGACACCACGAGCGTAGCTCTCATCCTGTAACTACACTTAGGTAATTACACTTAGGTAATTACACACACACACACACACACACACACACACACACACACACACACACACACACACACACACACACACACACACACACACACACACACACACACACGCACACACACGCACACACACACACACACACACACACACACACACACACACACACACACACACACACACACACACACACACACACACACACACACACACACACACACACACACACACACACACACACACACACACACACACACACACACACACACACACACACACACACACACACACACACACACACACACACACACACACACACACACACACACACAGAAGATGCAGGACCAGAAAACAGGATTGGTTTGACAGAAATTGTGAGAGGGCAAGAGACCAAAAGACACAAAAATGGAATCAGTATAGGAAGAGGCCAAACCCCCAAACATACCAGCGATACAAAGATGCGAGAAACAATTATACAGCAGTAAGGAGAGAGGCAGAAAGAAATTTTGAAAAAGGGATAGCAGATAAATGTAAAACAGAACCGGGCCTATTCTACAAATTCATAAACAACAAATTGCAGGTAAAGGATAATATCCAGAGGTTGAAAATGGGAAACAGATTCACGGAAAATGAAAAGGAAATGTGTGAAACATTAAATGAAAAGTTCCAAGGTGTGTTTGTACAAAATGAAATCTTCAGAGAACCAGACACAATAAGAATTCCAGAGAACAACATAGAGCGGATAGAGGTGTCTAGAGATGAAGTGGAAAATATGCTAAAGGAGCTCGGGAGGAACAAAGCAGCTGGCCCAGATGGCGTTTCACCATGGGTTCTGAGAGAATGTGCATCTGAGCTCAGCATTCCACTTCACCTGATCTTTCAGGCATCCCTGTGTACAGGAATCGTAGCAGACGTGTGGAAACAGGCTAACATAGTTCCAATCTACAAAAGTGGCAGCAGGGAAGACCCCCTCAATTATAGACCTGTATCATTGACAAGTGTAATAGTGAAAGTATTGGAAAAGCTAATCAAAACTAAATGGGTAGAACACCTGGAGAGAAATGATATAATATCAGACAGACAGTATGGTTTTCGATCAGGAAGATCCTGTGTATCGAATTTACTCAGTTTCTATGATCGGGCCACAGAGATATTACAGGAAAGAGATGGCTGGGTTGACTGCATCTATCTGGACCTAAAAAAGGCTTTCGACAGAGTTCCACATAAGAGGTTGTTCTGGAAACTGGAAAATATTGGAGGGGTGACAGGTAAGCTTCTATCATGGATGAAAAATTTTCTGACTGATAGAAAAATGAGGGCAGTAATCAGAGGCAATGTATCGGAATGGAGAAATGTCACAAGTGGAGTACCACAGGGTTCAGTTCTTGCACCAGTGATGTTTATTGTGTACATAAATGATCTACCAGTTGGTATACAGAATTATATGAACATGTTTGCTGATGATGCTAAGATAATAGGAAGGATAAGAAATTTAGATGATTGTCATGCCCTTCAAGAAGACCTGGACAAAATAAGTATATGGAGCACCACTTGGCAAATGGAATTTAATGTTAATAAATGTCATGTTATGGAATGTGGAATAGGAGAACATAGACCCCACACAACCTATATATTATGTGAGAAATCTTTAAAGAATTCTGATAAAGAAAGAGATCTAGGAGTGGTTCTAGATAGAAAACTATCACCTGAGGACCACATAAAGAATATTGTGCAAGGAGCCTATGCTATGCTTTCTAACTTCAGAATTGCATTTAAATACATGGATGGCGATATACTAAAGAAATTGTTCATGACTTTTGTTAGGCCAAAGCTAGAATATGCAGCTGTTGTGTGGTGCCCATATCTTAAGAAGCACATCAACAAACTGGAAAAGGTGCAAAGACATGCTACTAAGTGGCTCCCAGAACTGAAGGGCAAGAGCTACGAGGAGAGGTTAGAAGCATTAAATATGCCAAAACTAGAAGACAGAAGAAAAAGAGGTGATATGATCACTACGTACAAAATAGTAACAGGACTTGATAAAATCGACAGGGAAGACTTCCTGAGACCTGGAATTTCAAGAACAAGAGGTCATAGATTTAAACTAGCTAAACACAGATGCCGAAGAAATATAAGAAAATTCACCTTCGCAAATAGAGTGGTAGACGGTTGGAACAAGTTAAGTGAGAAGGTGGTGGAGGCCAAGACCGTCAGTAGTTTCAAAGCGTTATATGACAAAGAGTGCTGGGAAGACGGGACACCACGAGCGTAGCTCTCATCCTGTAACTACACTTAGGTAATTACACTTAGGTAATTACACACACACACACACACACACACCTTGAAAAAGGTGACACCCCTAGGGTCAACACTTGCAGCAGAGGAGCTCCAGCATATTTCAACAATCCTAAGTATTGTAGTACAGGTTGATGGTAGTGAGTGGTGTCCCAGAGAACATAAAGGTATAGTGCTCTTGAAAAATAGGTGAGATAACAGGAAAGTGCTAAGGGAAGTGAAAAATCGGATGAGAAAAAGTTGCCCTAGTGTTTACAGTGCAGAGAAGAACATTCAAGATGGCCACTGGCAAGGGGAAAAACAAAACAGAGCTTGATTTTGAGGGATTCAATGAAGAAAGCGTTGATATTAGTAGTCTACATAACAAGTTGGTAAATTTAGATACTATAGTGAACTCTCATGTAGAAATAATTAGTAAATTGAAAGAAAGTAATGACCATTTGAATAGCAAAGTTTTATGTCTTGAGGGTTTAGTGAAAGACTTGCGCAAGGATAAGAATCAATTGGAAACAAATTGCAAAGCCATGGAAGAAGAAAATAAACTCTTAAAAATAGCTTTGGAAGAAGTTAAAGTAAATTTAAACATAAATGACTACAATAGGTTAGGCAAGGAAATTCAACAGGAGAAACAGCTTTTGTCAGCACAGATGGAGGAAGTTACACAGGGAATAGAACAGTGCAAGAAAGATATGCAACTCACTTATGCACAAGTGGCCAAGGAGAAGGA